CTCTCTCTCTCTCCCTCCCTCCCTCCTCCCTTCCCGCTCGCAACCCCCTTTGCCTACCTATATTTGCCTTGAGAGTAAAATAAAAATTTGGAGCTTGATCAGATGTCCTGTCTTGCTCTCATTCTTTGTGTCTCTTGTCCCTCTCATTCGCCAGCCCTCCCTTTAGGTCCCCGTGGAAGACCCCACTGGCCGGGGCAGTGGGGTGTGGATCAAAGGAAAAATGGAGAGAACAGAGGTGAAAAGAATTGTAGCATGTCTCACCATGAGGAGGAGCAAAGAGCCGGAACAGGAATGAAAGGAAACATTTTTCAAAGAGGATTTTATTTGTCTTGTATTTTAAAATCCGTGTGAAATCCTTTGTACACGCCTTTGCATGCGTATGTGCATGTGAGTGCAGGTGCTCTTCAAGGCCAGACGTGTTGGATCTCCTGGAGCTGGAGTTACAGGTGATGGTGAGCAACCTGACCTGGGTTCTGGGACCCCTTGGGACTTCTGAAGGAGCAGCACATGCTTTTAACTGCTGAGCCATCTCTCTGGTTACCTCTCTCCTCACCTAGTTTTTGAGACAGCATTTCACTATGCAGGTCTGGCTGGTCTGCAACTTGCTTTGTAGAATGAGGCTGGCCTTGAACTCTCAGAGATCTGCCAGCCTCTGTCTTTGGGGTTAAAGGTGGGGTCACCATGCCCAGCATGAAGGAAGCATGTTTAAAGACAGGAGAGGTAGATATTGATAATCTGGACAGCTAGGCTCCATATATAGGATCCGGCAGCTTGAGAAGGCAGAAGAATAATCTGAGGGGCTGGCTTGTGATCAGGACAAAGACTTTAATTTCACTGGAGAGAAAGCAGTGAGTGTGGGGCCAGGGACAGCTGTGATGGAGAACAAGGGGATAGGAAATCGGGGACCCAATCTGTTCCCCTTGCTTCAATCAAGTGGAAGGGAGAAGAAGCAAAATTGGGTATTTGGAGAGGGGAGGCTTTGGGTTATTCAACCCATAAAATGGAAATGCAAACATGAGAGAAAATTGGGGAACTATTCAGTTGAGATATAGTCTTGAGGCTAGACAGTCTTGCTCAAACGGCGCTCTACTACAGGCAAAGGAGAAGGAGGGGGTGGGTTCACCCCACACGTGTTGAGAGGGAGGGGAAGAAGGAAGGGAGAGAAGAAGCCAGACTCTGCAGAGCATTGATTGTAATGAAGCAGAGTCTGGACTGGTACAGTTAGGCGCGGCAGGAGTGATGGCCTGGAAGACTGGCTGCGTCTAGAGATGGAAGAGACACTCCATCTGTTACTGAGAAGCTGTACCGGAAGGAAAGGAGGAAGTAACCAGAGATGAGGCCCAGAGGAAGCAGTTGGAGCAGCCTTCCATCACGGGGGATAATCATTTCTAGAGCTTCACTGTCCAAGGCAGTAGGCACTAGCCACAGTGTGGAGAGCTAAATTTAAATTTAAAGAAGTTCAAAACCCATTCCCTCAGTTTTGCTAGGTGTATTTCCAGGGCTTTTCCGTGCCAGACAGCGCAGCCACAGAAGGTTCTACAAAATAGTGCTGTCTTCGTATGGCCATGGGAGCAGAATTAAAGAGCCTGGGAGGGTTGTTTAGGGGCTGGGAAGGAGGGATGTTAGAGGACACCTTGTTTGCTACACAAGCCTTCAGGAGTGGAGTTGGGGTGAGAAGACTGTGAAGAAGGATTGAGGTGCCAGGAATATCTTTTTAAAACAGTTTATTTTTATTTCACGCACATTCATGTTTTGCCTGCATGTATGTCTGTGTGAAGGTGTTGGGTCTCCTGAAACTGGAGTTACAGTTATGAGCTGCCATGTGAGTGCTGGGAATTGAACCTGAGTCGTCTGGAAGAACAGCTTAACCACCAAGCTCTTGCTCTAGCCCTGCGAGTGTCTTTTTCCTCTTGTTCTCCAGGTCATCTCCTTGCCTGTTGACATGCCCAGCCCCAGCCCCAGCACTAAGGCCAACTTCCTATCCTCACTTGGGGCCACATTGTGATGCCCTCATTCAGACACTGACATTTTCTTTAGGTGCTTCCCAAAGAGGGAACAGAGGCACTCTAGACCCCAGCCAGCCCTGACTCCAGACCCCAGAGTCAGTCTATGCATGCAGAGGTATCAAGAATTTTCATGGGTTGTCGTCTTTAGATCAGTGACTGGCAGAAAGGAATGAGCCTGAGGATGGGAACTGGACTCCTGTGAGGTCAGGTCAGGTTGGGACCTAGCTGATGCTTTGATGATTGAGTGGCATGTGACCGTTACCATTCCAATACACAAACACAGGAAAACCTTACTGTCGTTCTCTGTGAGAGACAACAGGAGTCAGTGAGGCCCAAGACTCAAGGCTTCCATTAGTTGGAAACATAAACATACACCAACCATTTAGACCTTTACTGGGGACCGAAGACATAGCGCTCCTTCTAATCAGCTCTCAGTGGTCAATGATCTCAATATGGAACTGCAGGTGAGTGGTGGTGATCACACAGTGACCCCTCAAGAGGGAGCAAGACTGGCAGTTGTGGTATTTCCAGTGGCCCTGGATGATGCAGATGGCATTGAGGACCTGGCAGTACCGCCAGTGGATGCGCCACATCCGAATCAGGGACTGGAGCTTGACCACCGCTCTCTCTCTGTTCGAGTAGTCAATCAGCGCTTTCCTCCGCTTCTTCTCCAGATTCCTCCCGAGTGTCAACCGCCACCAGCATTGGATGATCCAGGCTCGGAGGGCTGCGTGGAGCAGGGTCCTGCGCACCAGTGTGCCACGCCACCAGGCCTGGACCTTAATGGCTGCTTTGATTTTGGCCTTTTTAAACTTTTTCTAGACAGAGATAAGAGAGATTACTCAAGGACCTTCCTGCTACCAACTTTCAGGGTCTCCTTGGAAGGGCTTTGGACTCTCTTAACATTGGCTCTTCCTTGGAGAGTTCTGGGATCTAGCAGAACTCTGATCAGGAGCCAGGAGACCTGGTAGGGACCTTCTTTGTCATTGTGGACACATCACCTCACCCTCAGTGGCACAGTTCATTTCTTTTTCTTTTTTTCTTCGAGACAGAGTTTGAGTCCTGGAACTCGCTCTGTAGACCAGGCTGGCCTCGAACTCACAGAGATCCTCCAGCCTCTGCCTCCTGAGTGCTAGGATTAAAGGCGTGTGCCACCACCGCCCAGCTGTTCTTTCCTTTTTCATCCCATGTATTCTAGGCTGGCCTTGAACTTCTTATACAGTGGAGGATGACTTTAAATTTCTGTTCCTCCTGCCTCCATCTCCCAAGGGCTGGGGTGACGGGGCGTGTACCCTCCTGGCTAACAGTATCCTTCTCTTGCCTACATCACTGCTGCCTAAATCAAGAGAAAACCAGAGTCACTGGAAGGGTCCACTGGGGATGAGAGGAGCCCTGCTGAAGTCACAGCTCATCTTTGGGGAGCACTGATTGGAGAACGTTTGCCCTCCTCAGGCCTCTGTCTGGTTTTGTTTGCCGACTCATGTCCCATCATCTGCAGTAATCATGGATTTTTATTTTGTGGTGTGGTTTGTAGTATTTCCTGCATGTTCTACAACCAGCCTTCCTGTATTTAGGCCATTCTGCTTAATTCAGAGTACGTGTGTTCTCGACTTCCAGCCCCAAGCAGTTAGTTTCTGATGGCTTTCCCACTTTCCAGTCACCATGTCACAGTCAGACTCAGATCCAAGTGTCTGGGAGGAGGAGGAGGAGGAGGAGGAGGAGGAGGAGGAGGAGGAGACAGAGAGGAATGAGCAAATACTGACTTGACTCTTGGTTATTTTAGACTTGGGTGTATATGAGGTGGAATCCCACGCCCCAGGACATGGATCCAGATGATTCGGAGTTCTCTGAACTGTGGTAATTCTACTCACTTGTTTTTTTGCTTTTCGTTTCTCCTTCCTTTGAACAATCTCATCTTCCTCTTCAGTTACAGATGAAATTAAACTGCTCTTGGACTGTCACCAGAATTAAACGAGAAAGACACATCCGTGAGAAAATCATTCTTTGTGTGGGTCTGTTCAAAACCACCCACTGCTTGACTATCCCCTCTTTTCCCTAGACCTGGGAAGCCCAGGATGATACCCACCCACACCCTGCTCTAACCCCTGCTGGACCTGTCATGTCGTTTACACAAAACGTAAGCACCTTAACCCGCCTGCATCTAGATGGTTTGCTTGCCCTGGCTTCTCAGCTTCCCAAGGTCTGGTACGAGTGGTCTGATGGGGAAACTGAATTCCCAATGGCTTTGTGATATACGCTTAAGACATCTGCCTCAGACTCTCCTTCGCCTGCTTCCACGTCACACATGTGCTACTGCCCCCCTCTCAAGTCCCTTCTCCCAGTGACCCCTTTCTAGCTTCTCACCTCTATAGGCATTCCAAGGGAGGGGGACCCACAAATCTAAACATTCAGATCTAGGATCTGCACATGAGAGAGAACATGCATCTGTCTTTCTGAGCCTGGGCTACTTCCCTCAGTAAAATACCTTCTAGTTCCCCCCATGTACCCAGCAGCCTTACAATTGCTGTGTATTCACAGAATTCAAGATTCAGTTCTGTGTATATACCACGTTTTCCTTATCTGTCATCAGTTGGTAGGCATCTAGGCTGACTGTTTCCTAGCTAATGTGGATAGAATATTGATGAACATAGATGTCCAAGTATCTCTGTAGTCAGAGCTACAAGCTTCAATTCTCCTGGCTAGCTTTCACAATCCTCAAAGGTTGTATGCGTAGTACCAGGGGAGAAAAGTAATCAACGATCTTATCCAGCTGTGAACCCTGGGAGCTGCAGGAACAACTGACCTGACAAGACATATCCATCGGTGCAACAGTGGTACAAAGATTATGGGAACAACCAGCCACTTTCGGATTGGATTTGAAGCCCATTCTACAAGATGGAACCCATGTCTTGTAGCACGAATCTTAAAGGGTCTTATTAATAAAAAACTCGGAAGCCAGGTATTGGGGTGATGCTGAAAGATCAGAGAAACATAACAAGCCACAGCCAACCTCACTTTGCCAATTCCTCAGCTGACCTTGTTTCCTCACACTGAAAGCTTGTGAGTCCTCACCTGAATGGATCTCAGCTGAACTGCTGCTAAAAGCTAAAAGCTTAAAAAGTTCCTGGTCTTCACGCCTTATGTACCTTTTTGCTTCCTGCCATCACTTCCTGGGATTAAAGGCGCAAGTCACCATGTCTGGCTGTTTCCAGTGTGGCTCTAAACTCACAGAGATCCAGAGGGATCTCTGCCTCTGGAATGATAGGATTAAAGGCGTGTGCTACCACTGTCTAAACCTATGTTTAATATAATGGCTGTTCTGTTCTCTTACCCCTAGATGAGTTTATTGGGGTACACAATATATCAACCACAATGTCTGGCATTGTTAACTGAGCCAAGAGCCCAGGGCAGGCTAGGTTATAGGCCCTAGGGGAGAACCTAGTAATATTTTTCTGCTAAGTAGTCATAGCAATAAATATCCCCCTAAACTCTTATTTTTATACCCATAGATTAGTACATCTCTCAACCCTTATCAAAGAAGCTTCTTTTTACAGTAGATGGAGATTAATGCAGAGACCCAGAACCCATTGAGAAGGCCATTAAAGATCTACCATAAATAGGCACCAAGACGTGATAGACCCAATCTGAATCTCTAAAAACTTAGAAATTCAGATGTTACTCATTAAAAACTATCCTAAAAGAATTTCCATCAAGAATTTCACAGAAGGAATGCAAGCTTGTACAGCCACTTTGGAAATCAATATGGCACTTTCTTAGAAAATTGGGAATCAATCTCCCCCAAGACCCAGCTATACCACTTTTGGGCATATACCCAAAGAATGCTTAATCATACCACAAGGGCACATGCTCAGCTATGTTCATAGCAGCATTGTTTGTAATAGCCAGAACCTGGAAACAACCTAAATGCCCTTCAACTGAAGAATGGATAAATAAAATGTGGTATATATACACAATGGAGTACTACTCAGCAGAGAAAAACAATGACATCATGAGGTTTGCAGGCAAATGGATGGATCTAGAAAAAATCATCCTG